CTTTGGTTGTCTCTGCTTTAGTGTGTCACAAACCAGTGGCCATTCTAGTAAATCTCCTAAATCTGAAATAGAGTCATATTAAATAAATATGAAATAAAAGTCATATTGGCTGCTGCATTTGTCCACAAAATATACAGTCAATTCACTTTACAGTGAAGCACCTTGATTGTCTCAAAGATGTGATGAGGGGCTTTTTAAATGCAAGGATTATTATATGTTAGGCAGCTCACATTGGCTGAAAGGAATATTATGCTTGGAGAACCAGCTACTAACCTGAAAATCCACTGTTTCCTCAGGAAGTATAAATAATAATATAATATTCCTTGCATTTGATATCGCGCTTTTCACAATAAACTGGGACTCTTAGATGCTTGTTAGATCAGGGAATGAACTAGTATTAATTATCATTAGAAAATGGAATTTTAGTATTTTTCTTCTGCAATTTTTGGATTTGCCTTGCTATTAAAATGGTTCCAAAAGCTATTCGAACACCTTTTTGAGTTGAAAGAACCAAACAATAGACTTGCATGAGAGCCAATTTTCTCATGACTTTAAAAGGTTTGATTCGATTATGAAGAGCCATGAGCTTTATCAACCCAAACATAAAATGTAAATACCAATGGAGTATTTTAATTATCCACTATAGATCAGTGAAGTTTTATTGGCTGGGGTGTCAGCCTTGGTTAACTGGTAACACACCTGTCTCTGTGTTAGAAAGTTGTGGGTTCAAGCTCCATGTCGGGACTTTGAACTCACATAGCCTAGGCTGATACTCGAGAACAGTGCTGGGGGAGTGCTGCATTGTCAAAGGAACCATTGTTTGGATAAGATGTTAAACCAGGATCCCATCTGTTTGTTCTGTTGGCCATCAAAGATCTCACGGCACTCTTTGAAAAATGAAGGTAGTTTCTTCCAGTGTCCTGGCCAACAATCCCCCAGATAAAATTGGCCATTCACTTCACGGCTGGCTGTTCATGAAACATTGCTGTGCACAAATTGGCTGTTGTGTTCACATATAAAACACACAGTCAGCGATCCTGTGAAGTGCTTTGAGGTGTCCTTCCAAAGTGAAAGGCTCTATATCACATGGAAAGATTATTATTATTTATTATAGGGTACGTTTTGCATGGTTTGTAGAAGGAGAAGCTTGATGGGTCAGATAGTCTTTTCTTATTCCTTGCTTTGTTGTTTTGAATTTTGAAACATGCAAAAGATAAAGTTGAATAAGAGCATCCTCAGCAATAGAGCTGTTCACCTTTAAAGTAGCAATATGTCCCTGTAGTAACTTATCCTATAGTTAGCTATGTATGTTTATAATATTTACTCTCTGATGATTCACCAACCTAACCTCTACCCCACCTCAAAAGAGAAAGGAATACATACAAAATTAATTCTAATTTTGTTCATTTACCTCAAAAAAACAATGGGTCTGATGTTTGTCAGTTTGCCAAATGCAGTTTGCCGCTGTGCTGTGTAAGTCTTATAACAAAATAAATTGGCTCCAGTTTAGTGACTCTCTCTTTCCATAACACAAAATACAAGTCCCGGAATGATCTTTGTCAGTCTTCTTTGAATTAATTGTAATGATGTCCATTGAATGGTAGAGTGCTGTTACTCCATATGAAACATGGATCATATCATGTCACATGCCACTTGAGTTAACCATCAAAGAAGCAAAGCTTGAACAAAGTATGTATATGGAAATCATTGCCTTAAAGGGAACAAGGTAGTCTGATAATGAATAGGACTCTTAACATTACCAATGCTCTTACCCTTCATAGGGGAAAGAATACTAAGGATTTATGATCATTAGGGAAGTTGTTCAAAGTGTGGTATCAGTCTACTCAAATCTTCATTACATTGAGGCTTGACTATGCAAACTCACTGCTTGTCGGCCTTCCCAAACTCCTCCCTCCACAGGCTGCAGATCATCCAGAACTCTGCAGCCCGTGTCCTCTCTCGCACTAGGCTCTGTGACCCTATCACCCCCATCCTTGCCCAACTCCACTGGCTTCCCATCACACAGAGGATACTGTTCAAGATCCTGGTCCTCACCTTCAAAGCCCTCCATATCTTGCTCCCTCTAACTCTGTGACCTCCTAACCCCCTACCATCCTGTTCGTTCCTCCACTCAGCGGGCTCCGGCCTACTTCACATCCCCCACTTTGCTCGCCCCACTATCGGCAGGCGGGCCTTCCGCCACTCTGCACCCACCCCCTGGAACTCCATCCTGCAGTCCCTTCATCTCGCCCTCCCTCGCCACCTTCAAGACCCACCACAAGACCTCCCTCTTCGACCGTGCTTTCGATCTCCCTCAGCTCGGGTCCGTAACTCTGTCTGTCCAGCACCTTGGGACGTCCTCCTGACGTGAAAGGCGCTATACAAATGTAATTTTGCTGTTGTTGTTAGTCATATAGGTGGAAGGAGGAGAGGAAACTAAAGGTTTTATATTTAGAGCAGAGTTCTCCGTTATTTTGTATCAGTGGGAGGTATACCCCCGTTTCTGCTCAGTGACTTTGAAGCCATAAGAGATCACAAGAGAGATCAGTTAATTCCTATTATATTATCCACTTTACTGTCCTTCACGTGGCAACATTAAGCTGTTTCTTAAATGCGTCCAGTGTACTGGCTTCTACCACCCTTCCAAGTAAACAGTTCCTGCTGTTGATTACCTTCTACTAAAGCAATGCTTCCTTGTGTCTGTCCTAAAATTGCCCTTCATAACCCTAAACCTGTATTATTTTGTCCTGCTTTCTTGGCCTATCGGTGGACACCGATCTGCTTCAGTTCTTCCACACTTCCCACCCCACCATTGGCAGTCGGGCATTTAGCATCTCTGCCCCCACGCTCTGGAACTCTATCCCACAATCCCTCAGCCTCACCCCCTCTCTTGCTTCCTTCAAATCCCGTCTGAAAACCTTCCTCTTCCATCATCAATCACCCCCACCCCCACTGCCCTCCTCCCCTTCTGACACCAACTCCCAGCTTGGGTCCAAAACCCCTGATTGTCCAGCGCCCTGGGACGTCTTTAATAATAATAATAATAATTCTTGCATTTGATATAGCGCTTTTCACGTCTTCTAGACGTCTCAAAGCGCTTCACAGAATATGCTGTAAAATGAATGTATGTTTGTGGGCGAAATGCGGCAGCCAATTGCGCACAGCAGTGTCTCAAACAATCATGGATTGAAAATGACCAATTTATTATTGTTTTTATTGTTTTGTTTTTGGAGGGATTATTATTAGGCATGTGGAGTAAGGAAACTTGTCCAAGATTTTGCCCTGCCTGGAATTGGACCCAGGTGTCTCGCTTGCAAGGTGAGTGCTCTAACCACTGAGCTACAGGACTCCACATGTAGGACATCTGACATGAAGGGCGCAATACAAGTGTAATTTGTTGTTGTTGCATCTGAAAGTAGGCCTTAAAGATGTATTAAGAATTTTGTCACTTCCCTCCGAAAGTTGTCAGGATCAATCATAAATGTCATCCTGTCACAAGGATCGAAATGAGGAGTATGAGCAGCCTCATCTGAGTTCACCATATATATCTAAACCAGAAAGTTCATGTTAAAATGTTATGGGACCACAGTGAGGAAATCTGTACACATAGCAATGATAGGAAATTCATTCATTTTTATGCCTCTCACATTTGTTTGACTACTGGACATATAGCCACTTCAAGCTGAATAATACCCAATGTTAAGATCAATTAGTATAATGAGATTATCCATTGAATCAGTTAAATGTGCTATCAAAAAAAACTTGCACAAACCTAAAGGGGAAAGGGATGGAGAACAGGCAAGTGAAATAATCTTGTGGACATCATTAAATACATGGGATGAAGCAGTTTCCCTTTAAATACTGCTTCTTTAGATGGAATTGACCCTCCCCTTCCGGAGCTCTGTGATAGCTGCTTGCTGGATAACAGAATGACTGGTTAAGGGTTATGGTTGAAGTTTAAATCATTAATTTTTACATTGACCCAATTCTAAAGCAGAATAACAGTCCAGTGCATTATTCATTAAACGCGTTTAAAACAACTATTCCAGCCTATGTGAATTTGATTTTCTCAGTTTTACTTGCATTTGGATAAATAGCAAAGACTTACTTACATATGTTGTATTCTATTTGCTACAGCATTCTAATTTAGTCAAATATTTATCTTTACCACAAATAAAGAATCTGTCTAACCATTAGGCTCCACCACCCAGCTGTTGGTTTGGGATTCCTAGGAAAACTCAGTTATTCTGCTGTTTAGAAACTGAACGGTAGGGGATACAAAAATGAAATTGTGAAATTGAAAATCTGATCTGTCTGGGATTGCTGTAACAATGTCAGGTAACTACAGTAAGGTAAAACAGCCAAATGTTGTTAATGGGGAGCTACAATGGCCTATGAGAACAGGTCAAAGATCAAGAACTCTTCTGACATCATGAATAGAGTGAATTACAATCACAGCTTGTGATGGGAGCATCACACAGAAGTAAGGAAGGCAGAGGAATATTCACATGAATCATAGATGTTTTCTAGACACATTTTCTCCCTCTTGTGGATTATTGCCACTATCGTCCCTGCAGAAAGGAAAAGCGGATCAGAGTGAGTCTGATTCAAAGGTTCACTGATCCTGAATGGTGATAAATTAATTTTCCAGATGAGATTGTTGGACTGGATTGTGTGAAACCCGTTCAGTAATCGATAACCAGAGCATGAAAACAGCCTACAGGCTTACACAGAATATTAATTATGTAGACAAGGGTTACTTGTTAATTGTGAGCAAAGGAGGAGAAAGAAGAAGTGTCAGCAAGAGAGAGAGAGACAGGAAAGTGAAAGGGGCTAAATTAAAGGGTGACTGATTTTAAGCGAAAGAAAGGAAGATTAAAAAGACAAGAAAGAGAGCGAGATTAAGGAGAGATTGAACAGAATATACCCAAGGAAAGAAAAAGAAACAAGATTGTAAGACAAAAGAGAGAGGAAGTGAAGGTGGAAGAGTGACTGCAAGAGAGCGAGAGAAAGAGAGAGAGAGTGTGTGTGGCAAAGCGACAGAGAGAGTCCAGCAAGCAGCTGGAGCTGAACAGAGAGTGATGGGCTGTGCTCCTAGTATCCATGTCTCTCAGAGTGGAGTGATTTACTGCAGAGATTCAGATGAATCGAACTCCCCTCATCAGACCACCACCATCTCCCAGGGCACAGCAACAGTACATGGCTTCTTCATCAAGACAGATGCTGCTGATTCCCTGCCTTCTGTGTTGGCATACCAGAGCCGGGTAACACGTACCTCCTCACGTCGAGAGAAGAAGGAGAACAGCAACTACACCGAAGCTGAAACCCAAACCAGCCATACTAGCGTTAAGGTAACAGGCTCCATTCATTGAGGTCATCGTTACATATTCTTGTCACAAACATACGGGAGACAATTTATGGTAATGTATTCTTCCATTTATTATCTGGGGTGACAGTAGACTTTATGAATTTCTTTGCCGTTGGAAAATTATGTTATTTTATTTGCATTTTTGAACATAGGCTAATATTTCACAGAAACATCTGACTTTTGCATACTCACAGGTTAATGATATAGACACACATTCAACCTTTGAAATTAGCTCTTTATTTTTGCAATTCTATTTTGTTTCTCGATATGCAGTATAGGAGCTCAGCATTTCTGCTAAATCTCAAGTGATGCGATTATTTTAACTTAGTTTATTTCATCACACGTACTTCCTCAAACTCTACAACTCTGTAGTCCTTCTCCAGGGTCTTTTCATATTCTGGAATATTAAAACCTGTATGAATATTGTGCCAAAATTATTGAGGTTAATGCTCTTGTTTGAAAGCCAAAAGTGTAACTTTTAGGTAAATCTGCATCAGTGCTTTCATATCTGAAAATAACCGTTGCCCTGTTTCTGATAGTTTGTTTCACTTTATTATATACTATATAGTGTTGCAAGGAAACATTCATGTTGTGATGTGATAATTATCAATGGTGATACTTATCACACACTACATTTCCCCCAATCCTGAAATCAGACTATGACTCCAGACTATTTTTAATTTCTCGCCCTTCTACTTTCCTGCAGGTATCGACTTGCTAGGGTATGGTTTACGAGCCCCAGCAGTTTTTCGCTACTTTGCCCAATTGCCAATTTTTCATATGTTAGCACAGTAAATGTTGCCAGGTTGATGAACTATTAATCCCAGGTCAGTTCAGTTGTGTTCTCATCTGCTATCCACACACACCAGTTAACATTGGATAGTGAACAAGAGTGGAAGCCTTGATCGATTTTTATCTTGTCTAGCAAACTTAGTTGCAGAATTGAACCCATAAACTTTTGGATTGAAATGAAAGGACAGTTCTATACCAGCATGTGAGCTCATACTCCAGGCTGTCACTCCAGAACAATACTTAGGGAGCGTTGCATTGTCAGGGATAGTCTTTTTGATCAGTCATTAAACTGAAGAACTATTTGCCTGTTCAAGTGAATGGTAAAATCCCACAAAATGATTTGAAAAGAGAAGGGAATTTCCTTCGGTTTGTTGGCCAACAATTATCCTTAGCCGCTAATCTAGGCTATGCCACCTCCCATCTTGATTTCTCAAATGCACTCCTCACTGGTCTCCCTCGTTTCACCATCCACAAGGTCCAACTCATTCAAAACTCTGCTGCCCGCGTCCTCTCCCATACCAAACTCCGAAACCCAATCATTCAAATTCTTGCCAGGCTCCACTGGCTCTCTATATCTGAAAGAATCGATTTCAAGATCTTCATCCTCATTAGCAAATTCCATCTTGCCCCAGCACCTCCCTACCTCTCTGACCTGCTCATACGCCGCTTTATTAGCTGCCCTCGTCGTTCAGAGGACTAACCATGTCCTCCGATTCCTCTGTGCCAGAAATCAAGACAAGAAGTGGATGAGGCTTTCAGAGTGTAGTAAAATAATAGAGATTAATTGCTTTCCATAAATAAAATCAAAATACTGCAAAGCAACAACTTTCCAAGAGCATGCTCTTTATCAAAATGTGGTTGCAAACATTTTTGATTTGTTTGGAGAAGAGATGGAGCAGACCCATCATTTACTTACAATGTCATCACACACATGTAATCTGGAAAGTTATATGAGAGCGAGTTTATGTCATTGTGTCACAGTTATTTATGTACATTCCTTTCTGAAGATCGCATCCCTTTTAAGTTCTTAATACAAAATAATAGTCAGGAGGACATCCCAAGATGCTGGACAGTCAGAGATTTGGACCCGAGCAGGGGGGTGGGGAATCAGGGAGAGTGGAGGGCAGGGAGGGTGAACAATAATAATGATAATAATCTTTACATTTGGTATACCGCTTTTCACGCTGGGAGGATGTCCCAAAGCGATCTATAGTAAAGTGAAGTGACTGTGTTTTATGGGCAATTTGTTTTTGTTGTGTAATCTGTTAGGAAAAAGCAGAATGTCAGTTGATAATTATTGACTAGTTTCAGATTGGAAGAGCCCATTGATTTCAGTGATTTGGTTTGAAGATATCCATGCTCCCAATAGGGAAGAATGATATTTTCGCACATCTAATAATAGAACAGGACTTTAACCTGGCTTGTATCATGTAACGGGGTATTCAGAATCTACCTCTCAGCTTGTAAAAATGCTTTCTGCCCTACTTTTGCTGGGTTCCAATTCAAAAAGGCAACTGGACACTTTTCAAAAGCTTCTGTTGTGAAATCAATTCGGCTGAAGTCATGGAGGTGATCAAACTATTTGCAAATTACAGGGCAAACCTGCTACAGAATCATAGAATCATATAGCACAAAAAGAGGTCATTCGCCCCATCGAGTCTGTGCCAGCTCTTTAAAAAGAGCAATGTAATGTCAATCCCGTCCTCCTCAAATACCCATCCACTGCGTTTTTAAAAGTTGTTATTGAATCGGCCTCGACCACCCTTTCAGGGCAATGTGTTCCAGATTCGAACAACTCGCTGCGTGAAAAAATTTCATCTCACCTCCCCTCTGCTTCTTTTAGAGACTATTTTGAATCTGTGACCTCGAGTCACCGACACACACACCAGTGGAAACAGTTTTTCCCTTTCTAACCTATCAAATCCCCTCATGATTTTGAAGACCTCTATTAGGACTCCTCGTAACCTTCTCTGCTCCAATGAGAATAATCCCAGCCTCTCTCGCCTTTCCTCATAATCAAGGTCCCTCATTCCTGGTACCATCCTCGTAAATCTCCTCTGCAGCACCATCTGGGCCCATTCACTCAGAATCCCTGTATTAAAATGGAGTGCGCTTCCCGTTCAGGTTATCAATAGAAAGCACCACGGATGTCACTTCCTGTGCATTATACATGCAGAGTATACGCAGGAAGCACTGCTGATGTAATTTCCTATGTGCATTCTCACTGTACTTAGGAAGCACCACTGTCACTTCCTTTGCAAAGTGACGGAACAGTGTTTCCTTCATAGTGCACATGTCCTGTGCGCAGGAAGTAGAATCAGCATGCAACCTGACAACCTGGAAGTTCCTAGAGCAGGAAGTCTGACAGTATGCGCTAGAAGTCAGAAGTATTTAACTCTTTCTCCCTGCCTCACTAAAATTATTAACGCTATTTTCACAGTTTTTGAGAGACTTCAGTGTTTGAAGTAATACTTGAAATACAGTGTTTTCAACAATACTTTTAATCCAGTCTTCGGCGGACACTTAATTACCAGGAGTGGTAACTGAGCGCCCTCAGAAGAATGAGTTAAAATAGAACCTGTACTAAAGTGAAGCACTGAACAAGGGGCTTCCCCTGTATCAACTAAAATACATTTACAAGCAGATTCAATGCAATGAATATCACATCAAATGTGTCACCAAATGCTATATTTTTCACTCCCATATGTGTTATATAATGCTTCATAACATCATCAATTTCATTCCTTTGAGTCCAAATGATTGTAGTACTACAATTGCACAACGTAAACTCTAGAACTGTCCACTCTTTGATCCACTGCGTCACATATGAACACAAGTGCTAGGTATGTGAGATACTCCATACAATTGTCCTATAATCTTTGTATGTGGTATGGTTCCTTTCATGTCAAGAAGTTGCCTCAAAACGCTTCACAGAATATACTGTAAAGAGTAGTGATTGAATTTGTGGGCAAATTCATATTGCTTCTTTATTACACAAGTCTTAATTGGATTTCCTACACTTAGCCATGAAGAAACAAGAAACATACATAATAATAAACTATTAACATATGAACATCGTGGCAAGCCATGCATTTAAGATTGTTCCATGCCTCCAGACAAAAAACATACAGCAGTATCCACTGATCAAATATTTCTGAAATCATTGGAGTCTCTCAAGCACTGTGAAAATAGCATTAATGATTTCTGTGAAGGGAGGGAGAGAAAGGGTTAAATAATTATTACAGATCGGTAAGGTTTTATTCATTGCAATGCCTTCAGGAAAACTGCTGTGATTTGAGCAGCACATACTTTTGCTGAAATGCAACATGTGTTTTCCAAGTCAGGTGATTGGGACTGGAATTCACATAAACTCTGATATTCAATAGTATTTGCTACATGCATTTTAATAAATCTGGCATTCAGCCACTACAACATTTTCTTTGTAGTAAGACATATAGAAGTGCTTAAGAATATTAAAAAAAACTGTTCAACCCTTCAAGCCTCCTCCTTCCACAGACCCTACAAAATCTACACTTTTGTGGACTTCACCTGACCCACTCAGTTTCCTGGAGAGGGTTCTGTGTAGCTGAACAATATTTGTTTTCCAGCATTGCTCTAAATTCATCCTTACAGATATTGCCTTCTATTGAACAAAAGGCAAAGTACTGCAGATGCTGGAAATCTGCTATGAACACAGAAGTCGCTGAGAACACACAGCAGGTCAGGCAGCATCCATGGAGAGAGGAAAATTAGTTAACGTTTCAATGACCTTTCATCAGATCCATTGATCTGAGTGCCTGGTTTGAGACCTTGGATCTCATGAATGGAAAACAATTCCTGACAAGCTAACAAGATTCATTTTGGATGTAAAGAGCACTTCAGCCCATCTAATCTCATCCATCCAGAACATCCCCTTACCATCCCCCCATCACTGCATCAAGCAGCTTTTTAAATGAGTCTAATGCCCTGACCTCTTCTGCCTTTCTTGGCCACCTGTTCCAGTTGTTGATTACCCTCTACGTGAAGAAAAACTTCCTGATATCTAAGGTGGGGAGGGTGTGATTTATGCTCCTCCTCAGCAGATCAACCTTGGAAACAAATAACAAATAATATGAAGACCCAACTGGGAGCTATAATTTACAATAATACTCATCTCACCTTAAGGGGGAATAAAGATGGTGGTGATCCAAG